GAAGAAGAAGGAAGCCTGGCCAGCTCTCTATCTTCAAGAAAATTTGCAATGAAGTCCCAGAATCGTAGGTGGAAATGGAAAAAAATAGAGCCTGGTAACTCGTGGCAGCAGCTCGAGATAGGGCAAGAGAGAGTTATTGTGGCACCCTGGAGTCTTCGCTTTGGAAGAAGTGGGCTGCAGTCAACCCATTCAACATAGACTCGTCGATCACGGATTGTCGGGACGCCAATCTTGAAGAAGGAGGGCAGTGTTACGTTCGCGCTGGGCGCTCGGTGTTATGTTCGTGCTGGATGCTTAGCGAGACATTAGCTGCAAGGCGTTCTCCCTAACAACGAGGGGGTTTTGTTAAACAAAGTTGGGTTGTTGTTTCCGGGGGCTTTCGGTCTGGAAAGACGCGTGTCATATTCGGTTACGAATATTAATGAATGCTGTATTCTTGTTGTATATAATATTTCTGTGTATAAAGTTGTTCTCCTTTTTACGGAAGTGTCCTTTTATTGCGTGTGCGCGAGTGTGAGAAAGTGAGAGAGCGACGAACGCAACATTTTGGGGGCTCGTCCGGGATAGTCATCTCGATATCGGAATACGAAGATGAGTACGGTACATTCACCGAGAAGGACCCGAGCGAGGACAGAAACACCACCTACTGACGATATGAGGCCCACGACGGAAACAACATCTCTTGGTGCGATACTGGAAGAGATGCGGGGAATGCGCGAGGAACAAGCTCGGAGGGAAACGGAGCTCACAGCGAGACTTCAACAGTTTGAAGATGAGCTCACACGGCTGCAAGGAAATAACCAGCTAAGTCCTTCGATTTCTAGAGTCGGGAATTCGCGGGGCGAAAACGCGGCGGAAATCAACATACGCGCGGAATTAGGTTTTAAATTAAAACCGGACGTGTTTGATGGAACGGTGCCGCTGCGGGAATTTTTCTCGCAATTTAATTTAATCGCTCAGGCGAATAAATGGGACGACGCGACTAAGACCGTTGCGCTTGCTGCGTGTTTGAGGGGCAAAGCGCGTTCTGTATTAGAAGCGGTACAAGATGTGTCGAGTTTAGAATTTTCGGAGTTGAAATCTAGACTCGAATTGCGTTTCGGGGAGGGACATCTGTCTCAGAATTTTTATACGCAATTTACGAACCGCAAACAGAAAGCTGGGGAAGATTTGGCTACCCTTGGCTCTGAGCTTGAAAGACTCGTGCGCCTCGCTTATTCTGAATGTCCGCTTGAGGTTCGCGAAAGAATTGCCTGCGCACAGTTTATTTCTGCTGTTTCTGATAACTTTATTAGAAGAACCCTTCAACTCGAAAATGTGGATTCTTTAAATTCGGCAATAGAGAGGGCGAAAACTTTATCTTCATTTCTGGATGTAATTTTTGAATTCAGTGGAGAGAGAGAAAGAGATTCCATAAGCTTTTGCATATTCCCCTTTGTGTCTCAATATTGTTCCTACGATACATACAATATATATTGTTACGTTCGCGCTGGACGCTCGGTGTTATGTTCGCGCTGGATGCTTGGCGAGACATTAGCTGCAAGGCGTTCTCCCTAACAACGATGGGGTTTTGTTAAACAAAGTTGGGTTGTTGTTTTCCAGGGGCTTTCGGTCTGGAAAGACGCGTGTCATATTCGGTTACGAATATTAATGAATGCTGTATTCTTGTTGTATATAATATTTCTGTGTATAAAGTTGTTCTCCTTTTTACGGAAGTGTCCTTTTATTGCGTGTGTGCGAGTGTGAGAAAGTGAGAGAGCGACGAACGCAACAATATTTCGCGCGAGTTTCGTTTACGAGCTATCTCTTATTGCGACGAGAACATACGTTATATTGAAAAAAAGCGATTGATTGTCTAAGGAAGAACCGCATACGCATGAATAGGAAGACAAAAAGTTTATATGACATTTATTATTTATAAAATGCGTTTCCCACATGAGATCGAATCTCGTATTCAGTTATACCACGAAAAAATATTGATTACATTTCTTGAATACGGACATATATTATATATAGAAAGATGCTTCTTTAACGAAGATGCGTATTCTCATTCATTCTTAATGCCGAGAGCATTAGGCCAGATTCTCACTCGATACAGGAAGTAACTAAATCAAAAGCGAAGAATCTTGGGTGAAATAATTTACTGCTGCCGGCTGTCGTTTTTTCGTCGGGTTCTCGTGAACCCTCTGAACAATTAGACCCTTTATGAGCCGCGAAGGGTAACCGGGACGCCGTAAAGAAGACGCGCCTCTTTCACATCCCGTGCCATTGGCGTGACGAGCGGACGGAGGGAGGGAGGGAGGGAGGGAATAGAGAGAAAGTCGTTTAAAGTGACGCTCGCCACGTGTTTCCATGCACGAAGTACCGTGGGTAAGATGCATGAAGCGACGGAAGCCGCGTAGGACGAAATGCGCATCGTCTAGATAGAGGAAGAGAAACGACGACGCTGACGCCGGTCATAAAAAATTCCTTTTTTCTCTTATTTTTTCGGAAAATCCATTAGAAACAACGGTGCCGTCGTGGCATTATTAATATCCACCTCCACCTACGGGAAGTCCATTATATTTCGGGGAGATTTAAGCGCACATTTAACCCTGTCGCCGTAGATATTTATGATTTGTTATTTGTATATGTGCGCATATCGTATAGTCTCGACCACTGGTCCATTACGTATCCGTTTGAGGTTCCCGGCCGCAGGTTGAGATGGGATCGACGATT